TTTAGTATGAATAATCAAGGGATATATTGGCAACCGACTATGCGAATAGCCAACAGCCGTTCAATTGATCTGAACGGTGGATGGTGCATCAAAAGATAGAATAATCTACTTAAGTCCAACTCATTTATACACATCTCTAAATAATTAAAAGTAAATATAGATCTTTCATACTTTATCAAATACTCTTAGGTGATGATCTCTACTTTCGACATAAAAACTAACAAGAATAACCAATGACTCTTTAAAGAAAATCTGTTGTTTTGGTTCGGCAGAGAAATAATTCTTCTAGTAACAATGCGAAAAATATGATAAAGAAAATAATTAACCAAAACAAAATATATAAACTATCTGAATATATCAGTTGAATCAAAATATATAAACACCAAACAGTTCCCAGGGCAATTCATTGGTTTCAATCTAAACTCTTGTTTATCAATCTAAAACATACAAAATATATAACATGCAATGCATACAGAAGTTTTTATACAGTAACAATGGTGAAAATATAAGTAAAAAAGAAAACCAGAGTAAAACTTCAAATACCGTAACAATGGCGGAAATGCAATGCAGACGGACGGAGGCTGTCGTAAACGGATGGTGAACGGCGGCGAAATGCAACAGAGGAGGCTGTCATTAGCGGACGGTGAACGACGGCGAAATGCAACGGAGGAGGGCGACAGTCGGATTGGGTAGGGCAACGTTAACGTTCGCCAGAGGAGAAGAAGGAAAGAAATACGAAGAGTACTGTTCTAATTCTTTTAAAAATTCTGGTGGGTATTTTAAATTTAATTCTAACTAAACCTACAGAAGCGCTTTTTAATGGCTTTAGCAGCGCTTCAGGAAAGCGCTCTCAAATGTGTGCCTTAGCAATGACAAATAGTAGCGCTTCCTAAAGCGCTTTCTTATGTACCCCCATATAGCAACGCTTTACAGAAAAAACGCTCTCGTAGGTAGGCAATTTTGTTTCTTATGTACCACCTACAGCAGCGCTTTAGAAAAGCGCTTTCATAAGACACCCCTTTAGCAACGCTTATTAAAAAGTGTTGTCTTTGGTAGGCATTTTTTTCTTTTTTTTAATGACACTGTAGCAGCGGTTTTTTAGCAGCGCTTATCAAAAAGCGCTGTCTTTGGTAGACAATTTTTTTCTTTTTTTTTAATGACTCTTTATCAAAAAGCGCTGCTAAAAGTCAACTCTGGCGTAGTGACTTAAACTCCAAATATGCAAATCTGTCATATTTTTGAGTTATTGAGCGCATTTGGGTGTTTGATTATGAGAAGTTTCAGATTCATATCTTTGGATGCAAGTGAGTTGAAAATAATAGTGACATACAAATGGATAAGTCATGATTTTTGCAAGTGGATCTTAATAAGGTGTACAAATATTTACAAAAAGTCTTTTACTAACCTTCCCTTTTTGAGTTTTGACCTCATTTTCCTCGTAAACTAGACAAAACTTGAAGAAAAATAAATATAATGAATATGCAATAATTTAGCTTGCTAGAAGAATAACAAGAGTTTTCTAAATTCATTCTCTATCAAGTAATTTATCTTAAATCACAAATAATCTTGAGAAGAAATATTTTCCCCTTTGTTCCATTTAAAACTTAACATTTTTTTGCATCCCTCTAATTTGTTTAATATGATAGGCAATATTAAATTTCATTTCCTTCTTTGTGAGATTTCTTCCAAAATTTTATTTGATGATTCTTTGGACATATGTTTTTTACACTTTTTCTTAATTTGGCATTTATTCTTTGATTCTCCAAAGCATTCACTTTCATGTAATTCTATAAATGTTTCTTCATTTGATGCTTTTAATGATGCTTCATATATTGTGACACTTTAGATGATATTTTTAATGATTCTTGATATGATGCTTTTGATGATTCTTCAATTGATAATCACACTCTTAAATAAAATAAATTAAGCACAACACTAATACAATACAACCCTCTAAAAGACTTTTCTGTCTTTTGACACTAAAATAACTCTACTGAAGAAAAGAATTTAGAAAGAAAGATAATACATTAATCTTCGAACTTTGAAGTATGTTTTACCTTTGCCAATCTTCGAACATATGTTCCCTAGAATCCTACTATAAAAATTCAATTAAGACGTCACATCAAGGTACATGCATTCTAACTTTGGAATATGTTTTACCTTTGGCAATCACTAACTTGGATAGCAAAGTGCTTGCAAATACCACCTGCCTGCGTGTCTGACACCAAACCTGATCATCAATACTCCATTCATGTATTAGAATTTTCCATTTGAGAACACCATCTCACTTATGAGTATCATCAGCCCTAGCAAGATCATTTAATTCACAAATATTTAGCTAATTAATAGTATATATTAAGATTTATAAGATAAATAAAAAAGTTAGATGAATTATGTTATGCTAACACTTACTTAAATTATACATTAACAAATTGGAGAAGATCTCGTATTTTTTATCATGAAATTTTTTTGATATATATATATATATATATATATATATATATATATATATATATATATATATATATATATATATATATATATATATATATATATATATATATATATATATATATATATATATATATATATATATATATATATATATATATATATATATATATATATAATCTTCTCTTAGTAATCATAGACTTTACCCCTTCCTCCCAGCCAAATAAGTGGTGGTGTGGTCACTTTAAAGACGGTTCTTATTATTCAGCTTTCAAGTATATATTTCTTCTTTCTCGTGAGTTTCTTAGAGATCGTCCAGTCTTAGTTTTGGAGTCAGTTCTCTCTTTTATCTGGTGTAGCTGGACCCCCTCAAAAGTAATTGTTTTTTATTGGCAATTCCTGCAATATATGATTCTTACTAGGGAGAACTTACTCAAGAGAGGGATCTTAATTGATGTGGAGGGGGTTTCTTGCCCTTTATGATTTGGCTTCTAGAGTTGTCTCCTCACCTATTTATGACTTGTGATGTAGTAGTATCTATTCAGTATAGAATTTTTAGATAGTTAGGGTGATATGTAGTTTTAACTAGGGATTTCTTGACCTTTTGCAAATGTTATCCGTGTTTAGTAGTACATCTAGGTTTAGGAGAGTGACTTTTGATTTGGCATGTTATGGTTTGGTCGGTATGGAAAGTTCGGAATGATATATTATTATTAGGTAAATTGATGTCAGGAAAGGATGTAGAAGATATGGACATACTCTTGATTTAGAAATGGTATATTGATAAGTCATTGAAAAACTCATGTGTTTTCTAGGCCTACCTTGAAAACCTTTTCAAATATCTGAGCAAATAGCAATTTTAGTGTCTTCGACCTCCTTCTAATGTGTTATTGCTGCTTAATGAGATTGGTGTCGTTTTTCATAGATTTTTTACTGAGGAGATCTAGCTTGCACTCGCTTCTAAGGCGCTTTTTTTTGTATTGGTGTTGTAGTTATTTTCAATTGCTGTTCTGGTGTTTTTTTTATCTTGGTGTAACTTTGGTTGTATGTTGTTTTTTTCAATTGCTATTTTAGGAATTATTTGATACCTCGTGTTACCGATCAACCTCTTCTTTTATATTATTGAACTTTAATATCTCCTTTTATATATATATATATATATATATATATATATATATATATATATATATATATATATATATATATATATATATATATATATATATATATATATATATATATATATATATATATATATATATATATATATATATATATATATATATATATATATATATATATATATATATAATTTAATTGAAATATATTGACAGTGTAAAATAATTTTATACTCTCAGTTAATTATAACTGTTGGATGTTAAAAAAAATTTAACTTTTATTTTAATTATTAATAAAATAATACCAATAAATGATGGTAATAAACTTACAATGTAAAGCTTTTTACAATAACAATGTATAATAGTTAATCTTTATATATATTGTCATTATAAAAAGTTTTACACTGTCAGTTTATCACCATCATTCATTGGTATTATTTTATTAATCTTTTATATATATATATATATATATATATATATATATATATATATATATATATATATATATATATATATATATATATATATATATATATATATATATATATATATATATATATATATATATATATATATATATATATATATATATATATATATATATATATATATATAAAACATACCGGGAGTTTTTGTTGCCAGGTTCACGTGCTTGTGTTGCAAAGGAATCTCATTTGTCACTTTTTTTTCCTCTCAAAGACAACCAAATTTGTCCTTAGTATATATACTTATATTTTTCATATTAAAGAACCTCTATTAATTAATATGTCTGCTTCCACGTTTAACGGGTGCTTTTATTTATTTTTCCATTTCTTTCATAAGATTCTTTCTTCAAAACTTGTCCAATATTTAAACGTATAATAGCACTTAATAATTATAAGTTACAAATCTAACCGGATTGACGAAGTGGATCCAGCCTTTTGGGCAATTCCCGTTTTGCACTCATTTTTTACATGACAAACTTAAGTTTAAATGTCCTTGGATTTGTTGTGATAGGATTGATTTTTGATATAGTAGTTTATTGGCCTTGTTATCTAGGACATTGTATTTGTATTTGTATGTTAAGGTTGGGATATCCTTTATATCTCTTTGAATTCAATTTGATTATAAAGTTTACACTTTTTAATATGTTCGTCTAACACGAGTCCCTTTTTGCGAACTTTTATCATTGTGAAAATTATAATTTATTTTTTACATTTTTAAATTAAAAAAATAACGTGTCTGCATATCTTTCTTATCCGGCCTTTATTTTTTTTACAAGGTAGATCAAGTTTATAAATCTGATTCTTACCTATATCCGTTATATACAGCTTCTTTTTCTCTGTAAGTTTTTGCAAATTAGGATTAAACAGAACGGACATGCACGGTTTTTCACACTTAAACTTGGTGCATATATAACTTATCGTTATTACCAAAACTTCACATCACCACATGGCTTTCTCATGCTCAAACCTTCCCATTCAAAAGCTATTTTCATCCAAATTTGTTTTACTCATCTTCACCACTTTCTATCTCTCGCTAGCAGCAACAAAAGCTAACTCACAAAAAACAGTTTCCTTCAACGTCACTGATGGGAAAAACCGATGGCCAAAATCTGATTTTATTTTCCAAGGCGATGCCTTGATTTTTCCCGATGGAGTGTTGTCACTGACCGATGTTGCCTATACTAGTATAGGTCGTGTATTGTACTCAACTCCAGTTCCCATTTGGGACAGAACCACCGGCAACGTTGCCAATTTTGTCACTTCTTTTACTTTTGAGATTTACACCTGGCCAGGTATTCAGCCTGGTGATGGATTGATTTTCTTTCTTACCGATCCAGCAAACAAGAAAATTCCTGCCAACTCGGGTCAAGGACTTTTAGGAGTTGCAGATGCAAAGAATAGTTTGAATAATTTTATTGGTGTAGAGTTTGACAATTATGTTGATACATGGGATCCCAAATTTACACATATTGGAATTGATCTCAACTCAATATATTCAACGAAATGCACGGAATGGAAGCTTGTGCCAGCTTATTTGGTTAAAGTTGAAATAGCATATGACTCTCCTACAAGTACCATGACTGTTGTTGTCACCGACGAATTTGGTAATACCTCCAAACTTTCTCAAATATTTGATTTGAAGTGTGTGCTCTCAGACACGGTTTTGGTTGGTATTTCTGGTTCTTCAAGAATTGCTCAAGCACATGATATCCATTCATGGTCTTTCAGTTCAACCTTGGACACAACTGCAAGGAGCAGCTCAGACAGGACCAACAACAATAAAGAAAGCTACGCATGACTTTATTTGGTTTGTTGTATCGTATGAATAAATCAACTTATGACAACTAGTATTTCTAAATAAATTAAGACCATCCTGTTAGCTTGTTTAGACATATGTTTGAGTATATTTTGTTCAATAATCATGTTTGAGTTACTTGTTTAATATTGGCTTGATCAACTCAAGGTGGATATTTCCTACTACAAAATATATATTTCGTAACACATTTTTATTTCTTATTTCTGTGATAATGTTCATAGTGGTAAATTATATTTATTTATTTATTTATTTATTTTTTTCATTTTTAAGCCACACTTATTACCATGGTCAAAGTTCTCAACCATGTGAAAAATGGCGCCGGATCATAGGTCTGAATCGATATCATACCGGCTATGGTTTGAATCCTAACTTCAATATTTTTATTTTTAAAATCAAAAAATCAAAACTTTAATGTGTTTAGTTTGATTTTTAAGTGAAAAATTGAACCAACCAACAAAAAATAATTGGTTTTATTTTTTGTAACTTTTTTGGAGAAATTTAAATTAATTTAAAATAAAACTTTAATGTGTTTAGTTTGATTTTTAAGTGAAAAATTGAATCAACCAACAAAAAATAGTTGGTTTTATTTTTTGTAACTTTTTTGGAGAAATTTAAATTAATTTAAAATAATGTTTAACCATGCTAAAAGTGGGTAGGTTGTCTTTTAGTGTGTTGGGCGGTGGAAATGAGTTATTTATTTCTATTGTGAAGTAGGGGAGGTACCTAGGGAAGAGGAAAACTTTTTTTTTGGTTTTGTGAAGTCACATGTGCATTGTTAATTATTGTAGGAAAGTGTGGTGGCGAGTGAGGAGGGGAAAAGTATTATGGGGTCAGACTCGGGCGGGGGCACGTGATAATGTAAGGGCAGTTGAGTCCTTTTTCGTTGAGTCATTTTGGTTTAATTGGGCGAATAATTATTTTGAGGCGGAATTAGCGTGGAAATATGTTATGTTTACATATTATCCTATTTTAACCGAGTTTGGGAGTTTTCGGAGAGAATAGTTTTGGAGGGTATTTTAGACATTTCCTATTTAATGATAAGTGGGATATTTTATGAGATATTAAATTAGTAGATGTTTTGGAAAAATAATGGAAAAGATATAAAAGAGGAAAATAGAAGAGAAAGAGGGAGATAGTAAGAAAGGGAGGAAAGAAAAGAGAAAGAAAGAAGGAGAAGAGAAAAAGAGGAGAAAGAAGAGGAAACTTCGAAAATCATCAAGAATCAACCAAAGCTTGCAATTAATCAGGTAAGGGTGAAAGTGTTTATCATCTTAATAATGTATAAGGTCATATATGTGTTAGATTGGAATCGTTTGGTAGTTTTCCATACTTTCCATTTTTAGGTCGAAGTTGGATTAATCGATAGAAATCGTTATTTAACGGTTAGAATCTAGTTTAGATACCGTATATTAGTCGATATATGTTAGGCTAAGGCTATTGGAATAACATTGGATTTAATCGGGTGATTTTGGTGAGTTTGGAAGAGTTGGAGCAGAACTGAATATTGTTGTTCGCAGGCGACTCGCTAGCAGTTCGCTAGGCGAGCACGCAGCGAACGTTCGCTAGCAGTTCGCTAGGCGAGCGTATAGCGAACGGTCCCAGACTTGGGACAATGGTGTTTTGGTCTCCTTCGCTAGCCGCGAAGGGAGTAGCGAAGAGCTCACTGGGGGTTCGCTGTGGCGAACGAGGTAGCGAACGAGGTCTGTAGCTTTTGTTTGTGCTCGCTAGCAGTTCGCTGGGCGAGGAGGTAGCGAACGCTCGCTAGCAGCTCGCTAGGCGAGCGTGTAGCGAACGTAGCAGAGTGAATTTTCTCTGCTGATTGTGTGCTGTTGTGGCTTGGGGTTCCGGTTGCGATCGACCCTTCTCTGATTTAAAAGTTGGTGTGCTGGTTTGTGATGTGCTGTGGGTAGCCGAATGGCGTGAATCCTAGAAATATATTTTTATTGGGAATTAGTGGCCGTTTGGCAATTTTAAGCGTTTGTCCGAATTGAATGGAAATGCATGATAGATTAGCATGAGAGCACATAGATCGTAGGTACCTATGTGAGGTGAATACGCATAGTAATGTAATTACGAATATGTATGCGCGTAGAGAAATGTCGTGAGTCATTTTGCATAAAAGGCATTATGATGGACAATCTAGAGATATTTGATCCCGTGTAGGATCTGCAGAACCTCGCTCAATGCGATGGTTATATTTGATCCCGTGTAGGATCTGCAGAACCTCGCTTGATGCGATGGTTATAATTGATCCCGTGTAGGATCTGCAGAACCTCGCTTGATGCGATGGTTATAATTGATCCCGTGTAGGATCTGCAGAACCTCGCTTGATGCGATGGTTATAATTGATCCCGTGTAGGATCTGCAGAACCTCGCTTGATGCGATGGTTATAATTGATCCCGTGTAGGATCTGCAGAACCTCGCTTTATGCGATGGTTATATTTGATCCCGTGTAGGATCTGCAGAACCTCGCTTTATGCGATGGTTATAATTGATCCCGTGTAGGATCTGCAGAACCTCGCTTGATGCGATGGTTATATTTGATCCCGTGTAGGATCTGCAGAACCTCGCTTGATGCGATGGTTATATTTGATCCCTTGGAGGATTTGCAGAACCTCGCTTGATGCGATGGTTATATTTGATTCCTCGGAGAATCTGATGAGTTATAGTGTAACCGCATAGGGGTGAGAGGAGTGATTCCTAGGAGAATCTGACGGACGAATGAGTCGATACCGTATGTTTCGGGGTGTGTGTGTGCGCACGTGTTGCGTGATTATATGTTGTGATTAATGGTGGGACAGTTAGCCCGATTGATATGCATGTGAAATGATTTATATAGATTCTTCCTTTTATTTCATATACTATTATACCATTATTATTTGATCGTGATTCTCACCCCTTTGTTGTTGTTGTTGTGGTCTGTGCTTCCTCGGAAGTACAGATAATCCAGGTACATAGATAGCTTGGATAGCGGTGTACAGGTCGAGTCTTAGGGTGCTCTGATACGTAACACGTGATATGGGTGTTTTAATTGTTTTGCGTCAAACTTGTTGTAATCCTGTGACGTATCACATTTTGGTGAATTATAATAATAGAGATTTTATGAAATCTGGCAGATGGCCAAGAATGTTGAAATGACAATTTCCGCTGTATTATTTTGAAAATAATCAATAAAGTATTTTGATGACTTATTGGTGATGTGATATCCCACTGTAAATGATGAAAACTCTGATGTTTAATTATAATGTTTATATTTTATTTGTTTTGGGAAGTGGGGTGTTACAAGTCTGTTTCCATGATTTTTTTATAAAATCTGGAAAAGCCAGTACCGGTATGTCGGTCATCTTTTTCTGTAATTTTGTAAAGGCTACGACCGCCTTTATATTCTATTCAAATTTAGTGGAATGTAACAAATCGGTGAGACGAGCGGTGAAAGTGGCATAATTGCATACAAATCGACGATAAAAACCAGTAAGTCCTCAAAATCTGCAGAGAGCTATGAGAGAACATGGTTGCAGCCAATCCAAAATGGGCTTCACCTTTTCTGGATTGAGTGCAACAACACCCACTAAGATCACATTGCCTAACTAATGAACTTGATTAACAACAAAGTTGCATTTTGATCATTTCACAACAATAGCATGTGAGCTTAAAATTCAAAAACAACCTGCAAGTGAATTAAGTGGTCGCTAAAAATTTGCACTATAAATCAGTATGTCATCAAAGAATACTAAAACAAACTTTCATAAATAAGGTCGTAGTAAATCATTCATAGCAGATTGAAAAGTAGATTGTTAGCCCGAAAGGCATTATGAGAAACTCATAATGGCCATTGAAATTTTAAAAATCTATTTTATTAGTGTCTTATGCAACACGAATCTGGTGGTAGCCTGAGCATAAGCTTAACTTGGTAAAAACTTTGGATGTGTCCAGTTTATTAATAGTGGGGGTTAGGAATTGGTCTTTGATGGTAATTGCATTAAGAGTGTGATAATCCACACAGAAGCACCATGCGCCATCCTTTTTTTTACTAGTAACAGCGGTGAGGAATAATTGTTGTTACTAGGAATAATGACTCCTTCTTTGAACATATCTTGGATAATAGTTGTCGTAGCTTTCTTTTGTGAATTTGGGTAACGGTAAGGTTTGACATTGATAGGTGGTGTATTGGGTAAAAGGGTAATGTGATGGTCGTGGGACCTAATCGGCAGAAGTCTAGTTTGAGGGTATAAAATTATTGGGTAGTTATTAAAAAAATAGTTAATTTATGGGTGAAGGTCAGGTGATAAAGGTTCTAATAGAGAATGAGTGGGTGTAATATTATTTGTTGAAGAATCTATTGGCTAGAAAATCATTAGATGAAGGGTGGAAATAAAGTTGGTGTGAATGAGGTGGTGGAATTGGTGAAAGGCGGTGTAAATAAGGTGAGCTGTAGGGTCTCACTTTGATATAAATGATTTTTCCTGGTGGGTAAAAGTGATGGATGGAATGGAGAAATCTTTTTGGATTGGACCTAAAGTTTGTAAACAAGTCATGCTGAGGACAACATCGGTGCCTTCTATTGGCACTAAGTAAAAGGGAATGTTGAAAGGTTTGTTTTGGGATAGCTTTGTGGTTTATATGATGCACAATTCGAGGTTGCATGATATTATGTGCGCTTCCGTTATCAACTACGACCATTATAGATAGGCCATCAATTAGTCCTTTAAACTTTAGTGTTTAGGGAGAAAATTGACACGTCATAGCTTGTGTAGATAGACTAAAGTAAGTATCACCAAGGCCTTACTCACTTTCGGGTTCAATGTTGTCATCGACATGATTGTAATCCATAAAGTGTTTTGTCAAAAGTATTAAAAATCTACTAGTTGAACATTTGTGTCTGATAACAAATTTTTCATCAAACATAAGCCTTGAGCCCGTCTTTCTTGTAAGAGGGCTTGAGATATGCATCTAATGGGTAGTCTTGTTGGAAGTGGGATGG